CGTGTGTGTGTGTGTGTGTGTGTGTGTGTGTTCGCGCGTGTTGACAGTGTTAACTAGTTCGATCTTCACTCACACAACAACACATCCCCCCCACACACACAATCACTCACCTTCATGATTCGTCCGTGCACGTTACAAGCTGAGTACTTGACCTTCTTACGATACAGTGGGTCACAGGACGACTTCACAATCAACGTCTTCTTCCTCTGTATCACCTTCTTTCCTTCCACTAGGTACGTCTTCACGTAGGTATCTTTTTTGTATAAAGAAAGGAGGTGGGGTGGGTGGTAATGGAAATTGGAACAAACGAAAGTGGCATGTACATTCTTCGTGAACAATAACGACCACATAAATGTTTTGTTTAACCCTATCCGTACGTGGTGTTTTACTATCATCGTATCCATACGACGTGTGGAACTATGTTTTTTAGTTTTAGTAGAGGTTTTACGGCGCTCACAACTGCATAATAAGGTCATATGAGCGTCAGAAGATTAGAGGCGTTACAAGAGAGTAACGAATATAAAAAAGAAGAAGGGGGAGATAAGGACAATAGATGTTTGATAGGAAAGAAGAGGCTGTGCCATCACTTTCAAAGAGGAAATTGACTTGTCAATCCGATCCGTACGGTTTGCATAGCAGTCTGTCAAAATGATTTGTTGAGAAATACTGAAAATTATTTCAAAGAGATCTTCTTACTAGAAGTATTCTAAAATGTGAAGAATACAACCTCGGGGGTACAAAATGATCCCAGGGCGTACGGATAGGGTTAAGATTATATCATTCATTGTACGGATCCTAATATTATTCATTTAAACGTTCATTTTTGCTTCAGTACTAGTCGTTGGGAAAGATTTTAAAAATGTAATGAATGAAAGTATAAAGGTGGACCATCTTGTTTTTTAACATAGAGCAGTTAACTCCCAAGATAACAGTAACAGCCAACACAATGACATGCAATAGCAATAATAGATGGTAGCAACTTTCTCCAAATACTGGTGCATCCGTAAAGTTACGGGAACAACGAAGACAACAACAGCATTAACAACAGCAGCAGCAGCAGCAACAACAACAGCAACAACACTAAAAACAACGTCAACAAAAACACTAAAAACAACATCAACAACAACAACAACAACAACAACAGCAACAGCAGCAGTAGCATCAGCAGCAGTAGCA